TCAGGAGACGCTGTAGGCATGGCACTAAGAACTTCCCGATACCGGCGTAGAGGGATAAAGGGACTACAGCGGGCAAGGATTCTGAAGGGGATGTGTCTGGTACTTGGGTTGCTACGGTTTGCAGTGGGCATGGTTAGAGACTCTGTCCATGAAGGAGGAGTTGGTCAAGGAGCAGCGAACGGTGGGTTGGGAGGGTGGAATAAACATGAACGAAAAAAAAGCACTGCAGCTATTCTGTAAAATAAGAAGGTAAAAAGAAGAATGAATTTGGGATTCCAGTCATTCCGCGTGTTATTACTCACCTGTAACAGGCACGGGCGGGTAACCACAATCACCCGCCGGATCTGGCCTCGTCTCCGGCTCCGATGCTGATGATGGTGATGGAGCTGGTTTTCCACCAGTCGGCAGAGGCTCCTGCGATGCTGCTGTAGAAGGCGTGGACGGTGGTGGAGAAGAACCCGAACCCAGATCACCTGGAATCGTTGGGGCTTGCAGGTTCTCGAATTGGGTGGGTATAGCAGCAGAGCCCAGATCCTGGCCTTCAGCAAATTTCAACGTAGACGGCTCTCCCTGGGCTACCACCTTAAGTTTACTCGCAGACGTGATATCGATATCCATGCAGGTGGTGTATATCTCCTGGTGGCCGGTAATGCCGTTCTTTTCATCAGCGATGGTTGGCCAGTCCCACACCCAGTACAACGTATAGGGTTTTCCTTCGGGGGCATTCTTGGGTAGGGCTAAGTCATGCTGGCACCACAGATTTTGTCCCTGTGGTGTATTGTCGTCATGGGGAAACTGCTTTTGACGTTCCTTGGAGATCTTGTGGTCGTTTATTTGATAGCATCTGCTATCATCATAATTCTGCACCGAAAGAAGCATGCCCCTACGATCACCACCAGTGCCATCCTGAGTCCAAACTTTGTGGATTGAAGTGAACTTATCGTCAGGTTTGGGGTCTGTGGTGCCGTACACATATACTGTGCCGCGGTTCTCTGGCTTTCCCGGAGTATTCGAGGGGATTGTGACATGACCGTTTTCCTGGTATCTCAAAGCGACGGGGGAGCCAGGTGGCGCCTTGAGACGTGGTTTCCCATCAGTTTGGACTTGTTTCATTTGAGTGTCCTTGCAAATATTATCAGTCGGTAAGATCTTTGGTGGTCCTGGAGGAGGTGGACCTGGGCGGCTGGCTGGAGGTAACGGGAGCAGATATTGCATCATAGGGTCTGAGAAACCAGGTTTGTCGCGGGGGACATATCCCCGTGGAAAGCCAGGATCCCCGATAAATGTTCCGTTTTTGGCAATAACGGTGAGCTCCTCAACCCAACTATGTCCAGCAACAATTGGGAAGAGATAAGTAATATTGGCCATCAAGGCCAGGGATGGGCGTAGCCTGCGCATGTCGATCGTGGTTCAATGTAGTCTTCTTGCAAGTGGTACGCAAGAAGAGGTGATGCAGGTAGAGTGGTAGTAGAAATAGTGAAATCAACACACTTCAGTGTAGGAGACGAAGAGGTCGATTGTGAGAATGTTGATTTTGCTGTTGTATTTGATAATGTTGAAGGAAG